CAAAGTGCTGGGATTATAGGTGTGAGCCACCGCGCCCGGCCTCTTTTTGGTTATTTATGGCTTAGCAGCCTTGAAAACAATGATCCCTGTACAGCACAACTGACTGTAGGACAAATTGAAAGAAAAGAGCCTTACTGTAAGGAGTTAGATATTGAAGTGATACTATGAAATCAGGCCCCCAGTAACATTATATTTATTGTAGACCCAGAATCATTTGTGTGAGATTTATTTAGTATCAGAAAATGTACTGGGGAAGCATCAGTGATCTTTCATACATCTTCTGGCACTAAAATGTAAGCTGAAAAAAAGTTTTCTTTATTTATCCCGAAACTTCACAAGGGCAATGGAAGTGCATTTCTCTTTGTACCTATAAAAGGACTTTTCTGTTTTTAAAAAGTACAGTGTGTGAGGATACTAGACTAGTCTTTGAGATCACTTTGCTCCTCATAATTGAGTAAATCCCTTGAATGCCATAGTAATAGCATGGAGAAAGTCCTGAGGCAGAAACCAGATCTGGCCTCTGCCTGGCCCTGACACCAAGTGGTCCTTTTACCTGGGGCAATTCACTTTCTCTCCCTAGAGCTCAGCTGTCTCAACTGCAGAAAAAGGAATTGAGCCTGGTGGCCCTTAAGAGCTTGATGCTTTGCTTTGTTCTTCATTTCTGTTTTTCAGTCGCCTCTAATTGGGCAAAATCTCTTCCAAAAGAAAAGATACCAAGAGAAAAGGAAATAGATACTCATAGATGGGTCCTTGATACACAGTTTGATGAGAACAGTGATTGTTATATCTTGAGGCCATTTTTAGATATGCCTTAGCATCTTTGCACTGGTGACTCTACCTTATTCTCCCAACATGAAAGGACAGGCACCATTTATAGAGAAGGGGTCTTATACCCAGAGTGAATAGCCTAGACAAGTGCCACCAAGCTGATGTGTTGCCATATTGGACAGAATTTATTGTGGGATAAATTCATGGAGGTTTGGTGGATCTACTTGGTGTTGCCACAAGGAAGGCTCTGAGACAGCGTGACTCTGCGTGACGGCCACCAGCTGCTCTCTTGTCACAGATCACCATGACTTCTCCTGGGAGCCAGTGAACAGCCTGGATGCCTGGAGGCCCAGCAGGTGCAGCAGGAGCCACTTGTTTTACAAGCCTGCTTCCTCATCCTATTGTTCTCACTGACATTAACTCTCTCTTCTCCTCACACCACTGCTCACTGTAGTTCAGTGATTACACAAGCTCCTTGTTTCTTGAAGCGAATAAAAAGAGTCTGCTTTCATACAGTGTTTGATGTGAATAAACATATAACTTGAACAAATACCACCCAGCTGAAAAAATGAGTAACAAAATAATAGTCATTCTTTTTAATTTTGTAAACTCTTGCTGTATTTAGAAGAGAAGGTATATGATGAAATACCAAGAGAAGGATAACTGAGGACTTAAAGATGTACATTTTATAAATGATGATCTTGTGAACTCCACCTAGGGTGGTGAGATAAAGCACAAAATTTAAATGCAGGTTGCAGCTATCTTTTAGAAGTTTTTTCTAGTATAAGTATATCCCATGAATCTTTTTCAGGATAAGTATATCCCACATAACTTTTTAAATGACTAAGACCCATGCAATTTTTTGGTTTTTATTTGTTTGTTTGTTGAGACAGGGTCTCCCTCTGTTGCCCAGGCTGGAGTACAGTGGTGTAATCATGGTTCAATCTCAGGGTTCAATCAATCCTCCTATCTCAGCCTCCTGAGTAACTGGAACTATAGGTGTGCATCACCATACCCAGCTAATTTTTTATTTTTTGTAGAGATGGATTTTCTCCAAGTTGCCCAGGCTAGTCTTGAACTCCTAGGCTCAAGTGATCTGCCTGCCTTGGTCTCCCAAAGTGCTGGGATTACAGGTGTTAGACAGTGCACCCAGCCCAATTATTTAAGTATATAGATGTGTCCCATCTAATATTTGGGAGATACTTATCATAAAATGTTATTTATTTTTTTGAAAGTCACATTTAACTGAGTTTCCTGTATTTTATTTGCTCAATCTGGCAACACTATCTCTAATTTGTCACTTATTCTCTTATTTCAAAATGGGCTGTGAACTGTATTTCTTATGATATCAAAGAAAAAGTAGAAAATGAATGATGGTGTTTCTCTGTGCATCAACTTCAGTCTCTTTTCTGAACTTACACATTTTATTCCTCCCATTTTCAGATACATATACAACCAGAGCTAATATTTGTTCTAAATGTTCATAATATTGACTAAGGAAAATCTGAATACACATTTATAAAAGATAGTCTATATTTCCTTCAAAAGTAGATCACGGACTTGTCTTTTTTTCCATTTAAACAACAGTTTTATTTTAATTTGAGGTTTGAAATTTAACATATGAAAACTTGGAATTTTAAAGTACTTTTGATAAGTGTTAAACACTTGAAGTTAGAGAAATTAAGCTGATTTTTACTACTCCCTTTAAAAAAAGTTCAACATTGGGTTACTTAAATATATGGCTAGATTTATGTAAAATATACAATTAATGTTAATATATTATTTTGTATCTGACTTCAATACATTTTGTTTATTATACTTTAAGTTCTGGGATACATGTGCAGAGCGTGCAGGTTTGTTACATAGGTATACACGTGCCATGGTGGTTTGCTGCACCCATCAACCCATCATC